GCGCCGCGCCGGCTGCGCATCCAGCAGGGCGCAGCATGGGCAGGAGCATGGGAGGAGGAGCGGCGGCGATAGGTGCGGAGTGGCACGCGCAGCCGCGCGCGTGCTGCAGGTGCAGCGTCTCGGAGCGGCGGCTGGTCGTGCGCCATCCGTTGCGCCAGATTCGGCAGCTAGTGTGGCAGAGCGGCGAGGCTTGACCGCGTCTTGAGGGAGAGAGGATGTTTGTCCCCGTAGGCAGCTGATTGAGGAGATGACGGAGCGCGCCGGCCTCGAGAAGACTGAGGGATGACGGGCGCGCGGTCGATTGGCGCCGGGATATCCGGCGGTACTGATATGTAGTGTACGCGAGGCGAATTCTTTAACTTTTGCGGGGTTGGCAACGTAAATGTGTGTACGAGGGTTGTTCCGATTATTGTCCAGCATGCATCATTTAGAAAATTACGTAATGTTCACATTTGTGCGTGATCCCGCGTGATCCCGTGAACGCGCATCGAATCGATGGCATCGACCATCGTTCCCGGATATCCGCCATCCGGCATCCGCCCCGAAGCGCCCGCGAGCGCGAACACTCGTGCATAAACAATAGTCATAGATACCCGGACACCTCGGAGCTCGGTTTTCCATAGGCTATTAAATAGTATTTAAAACCGGGGCATAGGGTTTCTGATGTGCGGTTTCCCATGGGCGCTCTGTTGACTGTTTTTCGACTGGGGTATAGGGACTTCCCGACCCGCCTCGACTTGACTTCCCGGATCTCTGCTGTGTGGGTGTTGGTTTCTGCGGTGTGAATACACATCGCTCCCGCTTCGGCCTAATGGGCCAGCTCCAACCAGCCACGCTATACAGCCGCTCGCCGCGCCTTGCCCTTGGTCCCAGCGGGCCGGCGCGGCCTCCCGCCCCCGGACAGCAGCCCTGCGGGGGTGGGCTCAGGAGGCGGGCTGCTCGACGGCCGAAGAGGCGGGTAGAGAGTAGCCCGCTTGCAGCCCCACCGCCGGGGGTAGCTCGCCGCTCAGGTGCGGCGGTGAATAGGTGGCGGGAATTCAATATAGGCGCCTGGGGGGGCAGAGAGAGCACTGAGGGAGCGTCCTGCTGGAGGTGGTGCCCTCAAGATCGCCGCGCGCTTTGCCGCCACTGTGAAGGTACTCAAAACACTCGCACACTTTCACGCTCTGCCTTTCTTTATCGGAGCAGAAACCAGAAACCACTAACCACAAACCAGAGTGCCTGATAGTGAGATTGGGCTCCCGGAGATGGGCTCCCGCGGACGCGACACACACAAGGCGCGGAGAGACACGCACGCACGCTCTCACAATCTACGAGTACTGTTCGAACTACTTTCGACCGCCTCTCCCCTCGCCCCCCTTCCTGCCGTCGCCGCCCCCACCGCTGCCACTGGCATTGCCCGACCCCTCTCTTGCCCCGACCAGGCTACGAAAGCGATCAGAGAAGCCTCGAATGACGCTCTCCGCCGCATCAAGGGCTCTGCGTTTGGCGTAGTCAGCCACCGCTCTGCCGACTGCGCGGCCAGCCTCGGCCGCCATCCCGCGCAGCGCGGCTTGCATCTGCTGCTGCGCCCGCTTCATCGCCTCCTCCTCATCCTTTGTCATTGCGCGCCGCGGACCGCCCCCAGAGCTGAAGGGCCCCGGCCCGCCGAACGGGTTGCCCCCGGCCCCTAGCTCCTCCTCCACCACTTTCCTCTCGCCGTCCGGCCCCACTGTCGTCGTCCGGAGCCGCAGGCGCCCGTCCGGGCCTTGGAAGACCTCCTGGTGGAACCTGGCCGAGGAGGGACCTCGCCCGCGCCCGCCTCCAAAGCTGCCGTGGACACCGACGTTTCCGGGAAAGCCTTCGCGGAAGAGCTCTCGGAAGAGCCTCTCCGCGTCCTGTTCGGTGAAGGCGCCCGATCCTCCGAAGCCGCCGCCTGGGAAACCTCTGCCGCCGCCAGGGCTTGCGTGAGCGTGAGCCGCGCCGCCGTCGCTCAGCCTCGCAAACGCCTCGCTGACTGCCTTGAACCGCTTCTCCGCTCCCTCCCGGTCGTCAGGATTGCGGTCGGGGTGGTGCTTCATGGCGAGGCGGCGGTAGGCCGCCTTGATCTCGTGCTTGCTCGCTCCCAGCTTGACCCCGAGTACGCGGTACGGGTCGGCGCCGAGGCAAAGGCCGCGGCGCTGCTGGAGACCGCGCGAGGAGGCGGCGTTGAGTCGGCAACCGACTCGGAGTCGGCTTCGTAGTCGTCGTAGCATTGAGATGCTCGGTCTCGCGCCTCGCGCCTCCAAGGGGCAGGCCGGAAAAAGAATTCTGCCTTACCTCGCGACACTAGGCATACCTTAAACTAGGCACGGGACTGGCGCTCAGTAGGAAAAGAATTGAGTTCGCCGCCGTAGACTACGCCGTGGGTAGGGGAACCCACGACGGCAACGCCGTTCCTGAGGGAGGGTGTAGAGGATGTAGAGTGTAGAGCGCTGTAGAGCTGTAGAGATGTAGAGCGCTGTAGAGCGCTGTAGAGCTGTAGAGCTCTACATCCGCCGCGTCACGATGCGCCTGCGTTGTAGAGCGATGTAAGAGGGCGCTCTACAACGTGAAATCTCTACAACAAACTCTACATCATACCCGGGTAAGGCGCGAACGAGGCACGGTCGCTCTCCGACATGAGGTGCGTTGCACTTGCCAGTGCTGCCCTGGCCTTCTGTCTGCCCGCCCAATGGGTGGCAGGTGCCTCTGCTGCTGTGGCATGCCTCACGGCTGCGACTGGCCGGCGCCTCGGCGCGTCAGCTCGGCTCGGCGTAGCGATAGCCGATAGTGGCCAGCGCAACTCGCCTGGACTCAACGCTCAGCCAGGAGCTCCCGCACGCGCTGGCGCGAGTCATGGCGCATGCAACGCGTCTGAATGCTCGCCTCGCCTCGCGCAAATGCGACCGTCCTCGCAGCCGACAGTCCACCGCCTGCTAAAGAAGCACAGCGACGAATGCGGCACCGGCGACGCATGGCAGGCTGGTCATGACGCAGTCATAGGGTGTTGTGTGTCGTCAGAGTGACTCTCTGTGTGTCAGGGATAGTCAGGGCCGTCCATCAGAGCTCCAGTAAGCTCGGAGACACCCCATTAGCGCGGCTCGACCTCTTTGAGTCACTGCCTTCCCGGCGGGTTGGCTGTAGCACCTGCTGTAGAGCCTCTACAACAAACTCTACAGCAAAATCGCACTCTACATCGCTCTACAGGCGACTCACATCGCCTCGTCACGCGGCGGATGTAGAGCTCTACAGCTCTACAGCACTCCAGAGCGCTCTACATCTCTCTACAGCTCTATACAGCCTGAGGTACAGCGCTCTACACTCTACATCCTCTACACCCTCCCTCAGACCCGCGCTGCTCGGGGGCATACGATAGGACGGGTTAGCGTCGGGTTAGCGTCGGGTTATGGCCCCTTCTCGAGCGCACCCCCTTTAGGGGCTAGGCCTAGGGCTCTCTAGCCCGATGCCGGATGCCGATCACCTGGCCTGCTGGCTGGGTGCGCTACTTATATACGTGGCTGGGTTCACAGCGATTGTAGGAACATTGGGGGAACACTTGACGGTCGCGGCCTTCCGACTCGCGCCTCTCCGCCTCACTGGCACTATTGTAGCCCTGGCCGGTGCGCGTGGGCGTGCAGAGTTGAAGTTTTCCGGAGTATAAAAATTCGAACGCGTTCTCTCGCGGTGACCAAAAAATGTCCACCTCAGAGGCACCTCCGGAGGCAGGCCGCTGCACGCCGGCGACACAGCTCATGTGCATGTGCATGTGGGTTGATGCTCGGACCTCACTCCAAGTGCTCCAAGTGCACAAGTGTGCGCACCGACCTCCGGTACGGCCTGGCGCCGAACCTGTCGGACCTCAAGACAGCGTTGTACATCCCTTGGCGAGGGCGGTGGAGACTCACACAGCTCACAGGCGTGGGCCTACTCAGACGCGCGACACCACGGCAAAAAGCCGCACTCGATCGCCCACGCCGTCTCGCCGCCATCGAATCCCCGGCCCGGTGCGTCGTGTACGCACACGCGCAACGCGGGGCACGGCGCCGCTCCCTCGCCACCGGCGACAAACGCGCGAGCGAAGCTCTGTGCGTCGGCGTCGATCGACCCGCAGTCAGCGTCGCTGCGGCACAGGTGCAGCTCTCGCAGCGAGGAGCAGCCGCGCAGCGGCGCGAGGGCGCGGGCGACTCCGCCCGCCGGCAAGTCATCATTGTCGTACCACTCGATGAGGAGCCGTTCGAGGGCAGGGAAGAGGGCGGCGGTGTATGCGGCCGCCATGTGCAGCGCGCAGTCGTCGGCGAAGCCCGCCGCGGAGACGACGCCGGCCGCAAAAGCATCGACATCCGCCCGCCCAGCGCCTAACGGCCGTGTCGCGGCCGTGTCGCGGAACAGTGGCGGACGCCGCTACGCGTGCTGCCGCCCGGCACGCGCCAGGTGAGTTTGTGAAGAGGGCGAGGTCGCGCAGGCCGGCCGCCCAGCGAGGCGGGCCCCTCCCCTCGTCGCAGAGCGCGCGGAAGAACGCGAGCGGGTCGAGCCAGGAGCACTCGACTGCACCGAGAGACTGCAGG